TCACACATCAACACATCAAGTCTCACACATCAACAGTCTCACACATCAACACATCAACAGTCTCACACATCAATAGTCTCACACATCAACAGTGTCACACATCAACACATCAAGTCTCACACATCAACAGTCTCACACATCAACAGTCTCACACATCAACAGTCTCACACATCAACAGTCTCACACATCAACAGTCTCACACATCAACAGTCTCACACATCAACAGTCTCACACACAACAGTCTCACACATCAACAGTCTCACACATCAACAGTCTCACACATCAACAGTCTCACACATCAACAGTCTCACACATCAACAGTCTCACACATCAACAGTCTCACACATCAACAGTCTCACATATCAACACATCAACAGTCTCACACATCAACAGTCTCACACATCAACAGTCTCACACATCAACAGTCTCACACATCAACAGTCTCACACATCAACAGTCTCACACATCAACAGTCTCACACATCAACAGTCGCACACATCAACACATCAACAGTCTCACACATCAACAGTCTCACACATCAACAGTCTCACACATCAACAGTCTCACACATCAACAGTCTCACACATCAACAGTCTCACACATCAACAGTCTCACATATCAACACATCAAGTCTCACACATCAACAGTCTCACACATCAACAGTCTCACACATCAACAATCTCACACATCAACAGTCTCACACATCAACAGTCTCACATATCAACAGTCTCACACATCAACACATCAACAGTCTCACACATCAACAGTCTCACACATCAACAGTCTCACACATCAACACATCAAGTCTCACACATCAACAGTCTCACACAACAACAGTCTCACACATCAACAGTCTCACACATCAACAGTCTCACACATCAACAGTCTCACACATCGACACATCAACAGTCTCACACATCAACAGTCTCACACATCAACAGTCTCACACATCAACAGTCTCACACATCAACAGTCTCACACATCAACAGTCTCACACATCAACAGTCTCACACATCCACAGTCTCACACATCAACAGTCTCACACATCAACAGTCTCACACATCAACACATCTACAGTCTCACACATCAACAGTCTCACACATCAACAGTCTCACACATCAACAGTCTCACACATCAACAGTCTCACACATCAACAGTCTCACACATCAACAGTCTCACACATCAACAGTCGCACACATCAACACATCAACAGTCTCACACATCAACAGTCTCACACATCAACAGTCTCACACATCAACAGCCCTCCTATAGTGAAGATCTTCAATACACCATAGTACCCTGGTCCGGTAAAACGACTGGGGTGGGGATTGGAGATGGGCTTGGGGTCGGGGTGTCGGTAACATTTTCTCGACGAGTTTATATTTTTCTTAGACCTTAACGCAACATGTACACGGCTCGCCCTGGGGTTAGCGCCCCCTGCCCCACCCCTGCTGTCTAAACACGTGTCTCGGCCGTTTGTTGTCTCATGCGTGTGAGCACACGGAGCGCGTGTGTGTAATTTATGCAGCGTACAAACATTTGCTGCAATTAGCTCTGTTGATTGATGACAGCACGTGTCGTCAGGGTCTCTGGGGGTGGGGCGTGCATGATTGGGGCAAGGGTGGGAGGGGTGTGACATTGTGGATTGTGGATTGTGGAAATTGATAGCAGAGATTGGAGAGATATGACGTAAATGATTGGGGGAGTAGTTGAGAGGAGAGAGGGGTGGGAAAGGGTTGGAGAGGGTGGAAAGGTGTGTTGTGGGAACAGTTTGTGAGAGGAGAGAGGTGTGGAACGGGGGAGTAGTTAAGAAATTTTGAAATATTTGTTATAATTGATGAGATAAAAAAATCTGGATTACATAAATATAAATGATACATAATGGTAGGTACAGCTGAAAGTTGAATGGGATTCAGAAGGGGTGTAGTAGAGTGAGGATAAAAAAAGATGATGTGGGTGATGGTAGATGAGGAGTGGGTGAATGGCTGTTCAATTAAATACGTGAGAAACAGTTCTGACACAGACAAATGTGGGAAATATTGTCCATGTGATGAATGGGGAAAACACAGGGACAAAATGCAGCAGATGCAGGAGAAAACAAAAACAAGACGGATCGGAGGCTCAAGAGGTGGGAGAAATATGGGAGAAGTGTGGGAGAAATATGGGAGAAATGTGGGAGACAGATGAGATAGAAAACAACATAGGCTGGCATTGATGCAAACATATTTATTGATGAAACTCCTGGGCATCAAAGCTATTGTTTTTAAACAGGGAATAGGGCACTAAAGCAAAAGACAGATTGTCCTTGTTTTTATCAAAATCTCATTTTTCAACACTTCAAACATTAAAAAAACAATAACAAACAATTGACAAACAAATTCGACCTACATTCTTTTTTTTCAAATGAGGACAGAAAAATATCTTGAAGAATTTTCCATTTCTATTGAAGTTTTACCACATCAAAAAAAAAAAAAAAACTATTCAGCGAGTTTTGACTTACATTGATTCCAACGAACACCATCACTTAATCCACAAATCTCCGCCGGCACTTGACGTGAAGCAGAAACACTAGAACAATCACCACACTCTACACGTGTCAAAAACCAACGCTTAACCAGAGAACTCAAACTTGTAAGAACAATCACCACACTCTACACGTGTCATAAACCAACGCTTAACCAGAGAACTCAAACTTGTAAGAACAATCACCACACTCTACACGTGTCATAAACCAACGCTTAACCAGAGAACTCAAACTTGTAAGAACAATCACCACACTCTACACGTGTCATAAACCAACGCTTAACCAGAGAACTCAAACTTGTAAGAACATTCACCACACTCTACACGTGTCGAAAACCAACGCTTAACCAGAGAACTCAAACTTGTAAGAACAATCACCACACTCTACACGTGTCAAAAACCAACGCTTAACCAGAGAACTCAAACTTGTAAGAACAATCACCACACTCTACACGTGTCATAAACCAACGCTTAACCAGAGAACTCAAACTTGTAAGAACAATCACCACACTCTACACGTGTCAAAAACCAACGCTTAACCAGAGAACTCAAACTTGTAAGAACAATCACCACACTCTACACGTGTCAAAAACCAACGCTTAACCAGAGAACTCAATCTTGTAAGAACAATCACCACACTCTACACGTGTCAAAAACCAACGCTTAACCAGAGAACTCAAACTTGTAAGAACAATCACCACACTCTACACGTGTCAAAAACCAACGCTTAACCAGAGAACTCAATCTTGTCGCAACCGCAAACCATAATTGACACCCGAGCGCATAACCTTGACCTTTGGCCTTTAGAAATTACCACCAAACGCACATTCTCCGCGGGTTTTCTTGTCAAAATTTCACAATCCCGTCCCTGCGATTGATCTGTTAATTCGATCATCGATTTACTAATAACCACTAATGGCTGCGGTGAGATGGTTGCCTCGGCTATTTTCGGCACAGAGTACGTTCATCGATGTTCAAATTTAAGACAATTGTTTCGTTTCAGGCCGAGTTCTAGTTTTTTTTTTAAAACAGCTTGAGTTCTGTTTAGTCTCTTGACCCAGTTTGTGTGTTTGAAGTGTTCAGCTACACACCCGAGGGGATATTTGTACCGTTTTTGTCGGGGTACCGTTTATTTAGGAAACACATACATCTTCATTACGGAGGACTGATCGCACGTACAATAATAGTGATAGGGGAAGTGTCTCATCACTCAAGGGATAGAATTCACACAAGAAAATGTGTCTCATCGCTCAAGGGATAGAATTCACACAAGGAAGTGTGTCTCATCGCTCAAGGGGTAGAATTCACACAAAGAAATGTGTCTCATCACTCAAGGGATAGAATTCACACAAGGAAATGTGTCTCATCACTCAAGGATAGAATTCACACTAGGAAATGTGTCTCATCACTCAAGGGATAGAATTCACACAAGGAAATGTCTCACCACTCAAGAGATAGAATTCACACAAGGAAATGTCTCACCACTCAAGAGATAGAATTCACACAAGGAAATGTCTCATCACTCAAGGTGTAGAATTCACACAAGGAAATGTTTTCTATCACTCAAGGGATAGAATTCACACAAGGAAATGTGTCATCACTCAAGGGATAGAATTCACACAAGGAAATGTCAAGTTTGTGATTTACAGCAGTACCTGTTGCTAGGTTTAATTTTAAAATATAACATTCGTATTGTCTTGCGTCTGATGGGTAGTTAGATGTGTGGTAAATGCGGATCAGTGGGGGGGGGGGGGTAATTGACAGGGGTAATCCGTCTGGAGGTACGGTTGGGGTGTGCAGTACACATGGGGGAGGGAGGATATTAACTAGACTGAACAATTTAAGTTTAAGTCGAATTAAAGAAAGTAAACCAGCAATATAAGAAAACTAATTTTCATAAAACAATGTTAATAACAATCTCTGTCTTTAATTATTTTATTATAAAATGTCAGGAAAAGATAATTAAAATAAAATATAAAATTTAAGACAAAGCAATAACAATTGTATGATGACAACGTATGATATATGTTAAGGTTTTTATTTTTATTGTACGACAGATTTTAAAATTTAAAATATAATTATTCAAATTTCGAAAGTAAAGGATGACGAAAGTTTCTCCAAAAATTATAACTTAATGCTGAATGTTTAGATCGAAATAACAATATAAGATCAGTACAGTTTTACAAATTAATACATTTTACAATTAAATATTTGTTACAAAATATTTTTATAGGAACATGTTTAATTTTCTTATAAAGTCGTTTTATATGCCATTGTTAAATATGTTTATATAACAAAAAATTGTTGAATATATATATATATATATATATATATATATATATATATATATATATATATATATATATATATATATGTATATATAACTATATATATATATAACTATATATATATATATATATATATATATATATATATATATATATATATATATATATATATATATATATATAATATACACTATATTTTGACAATATATTTAACACATATACACGTATACTTGTAGGAAGCATACATTTTACGATAGGACATAAAATCCTGTATTATTATACTAATAAAGTTATTCGGCTTGCCCACAGAACAAACTATACAACTTGAGATAACTGATTTAAAACAACGAACAATACACTAATACTGATAGCATATAGTAATACTGAGACATACGAATTGTATCCATAGATTGTCTTCCATGACTTATTGAACCCTTTGGTTCCGTACCTTTGCCAATGTTATTGCTGCTCACCCGAGTCGTGATTCAACTCACCATCAGGTTCTTGCACACCATCTTTCTCCGTCACAAAAAACAGAACATCTTCTTGCGATACTGCATTTTCGTCAGATTTATCATTTTCTGGTCTTTTTTCATCGGCTTTCTTATCCAAATTATCTTCATCTGCCAACCGTTGATGTATTTGTTCCATATCATCTTCATTTGTCTCCTGTTGATCTAGTTCAAGGTCAGCTTCATTTGTCCCCTGTTGATCTAGTTCAAGGTCAGCTTCATTTGTCCCCTGTTGATCAAGTTCAAGGTCAGCTTCATTTGTTCCTTGTTGATCTAGTTCAAGGTCAGCTTCATGTGTTCCTTGTTGATCTAGTTCAAGGTCAGCTTCATTTGTCCCCTGTTGATCTAGTTCAAGGTCAGCTTCATTTTTTCCTTGTTGATCTAGTTCAAGGTCAGCTTCATTTGTCCCCTGTTGATCTAATTCAAGGTCAGCTTCATTTGTCCCCTGTTGATCTAGTTCAAGGTCAGCTTCATTTGTCCCCTGTTGATCTAGTTCAAGGTCAGCTTCATTTGTCCCCTGTTGATCTAGTTCAAGGTCAGCTTCATTTGTTCCTAGTTGATCTAGTTCAAGGTCAGCTCCATTTGTCCCCTGTTGATCTAGTTCAAGGTCAGCTTCATTATCGTCGTATTTAATGACTTGGTCAAGCTCATCAGTTTGAATGTGTCCTGTCACGGATGGTTGACTTCCTCCTTCTTCTGGTGCCTCCTCTGTTTTCTTGCTCTCCTTCCTACCTCCCTGCATCGTCTCATCTTGCCATTCTTCAGTTACCTCCCCATCCAACCTCTCGCCCTCTTTATCAACTTTATCATCCTCTACTTTATCATCCTCTACTTTATCATCCTCTACTTTATCATCCTCCTCTTCCTCTATCAGCACAGAGATCTCAAGCCTCTCGGAGGTGGCAGATCCCTGCCTTCCACCGCACGTGACTCGTGACGTCATTTCCTGTGCACGTGCTGGCTGCGGCGTCAGAGTCTCAGTTTCCGGTGGCGTTTCTTTCACTTTACCCAACACCGGGAGTTTGACGCCACTGATCGGAACACGCTGACCTGCAAGAGGAATCACGTTTTAAAAATGTCGCCTCACCAAATAATTGTCATATTATCCAAACAATTAGCTGCTAACATAATTATGCTCTCAACATGAACCTCTTTGCTGGAACCCCTCCCTCCCCTCCCCCACAAACACAAAGCTAGGAACCTAATTGCTCGGTCCATTACAAGCGTTGGAGGGCGAGACATTGAGTCTTGAGTACAGACATCCCTATACTGAACCCTAGACCTCTACACTGACCCCTACACTAACCCTACACTAACCTCTACATTAACCCTACAATGACCCCTACACTGACCCCTACACTGACCCTACTCTGACCAATACACTGACCCTACACTGACCCCTACATTGACCCCTACATTGACCCCTACATTGACCCCTACACTGACCCTACACTGACCCCTACACCCGATCCTACACTGACCCCTAAATTGACACTAACCCTACACTGACCCCTACACTAACCCTACATTGACCCCTATACTAACCCTACACTGACCCCTACACTAACCCTACATTGACCCCTACACTAACCCTACACTGACCCCTACACTAACCCTACATTGACCCCTATACTAACCCTACACTGACCCCTACACTAACCCTACACTGACCCCTACACTAACCCTACACTGACCCCTACACTAACCCTACATTGACCCCTACACTAACCCTACACTGACCCCTACACGAACCCTACACTGACCCCTACACTAACCCTACACTGACCCCTACACTAACCCTACATTGACCCCTACACTAACCCTACACTGACCCCTACACTAACCGTACACTGACCCCTACACTAACCCTACATTGACCCCTACACTAACCCTACACTGACCCCTACACTAACCCTACACTGACCCCTACACTAACCCTACACTGACCCCTACACTAACCCTACACTGACCCCTACACTAACCCTACACTGACCCCTACACTAACCCTACACTGACCCCTACACTAACCCTACACTGACCCCTACACTAACCCTACACTGACCCCTACACTAACCCTACACTGACCCCTACACTAACCCTACACTGACCCCTACACTAACCCTACACTAACCCTACATTGACCCCTACACTAACCCTACACTGACCCCTACACTAACCCTACACTGACCCCTACACTAACCCTACACTGACCCCTACACTAACCCTACACTGACCCCTACACTGACCCTACATTGACCCCTACACTAACCCTACACTGACCCCTACACTAACCCTACACTGACCCCTATACTAACCCTACACTGACCCCTACACTAACCCTACACTGACCCCTACACTAACCCTACACTGACCCCTACACTAACCCTACACTGACCCCTACACTAACCCTACACTGACCCCTACACTAACCCTACACTGACCCCTACACTAACCCTACACTGACCCCTACACTGACCCTACAATGACCCCTACACTGACCCCTACACTGACCCTACTCTGACCCTACACTGACCCTACACTGACCCCTACACTAACCCTACTCTGACCCTACACTGACCCCTACACTAACCCTACCCTCACCCTACTCTGACCCTACACCGACCCTACAATGACCCCTACACTGACCCCTACACTGACCCTACCCTGACCCTACACCGACCCTACTCTGACCCTACACTGACCCTACACTGACCCCTACACTGATCCTACACTGACCCCTACATTGACCCCTACATTGACCCCTACATTGACCCCTACATTGACCCGTACACTGACCCCTACACTGACCCCTACACTGACCACAACAACTTTAACAACGACGACTTCCCTGGCCACGCCCCAAACATGACCTGGTGTGTATAGCTTGCCCCCTTTACCTCACGTATTGCCTATAAATAGATTTGTCTTACAACATTAATTCCCCTACCGTATCTCATCGATATGCCATAAACAAGCTGATAGTATTGATTAGAAAGGGAATATTTTTACCGCGATTGATTCTGTTTTTAAAAATTGATTTCAAATATTGATAAACAAAATCGAACATTAGGCACTCAGTATATTAAAGTGAAATTTTTTTTTCTGAATAAAATTTTATTTCGGCATACAATGTACGTTGTTGTATGTTTTTTTAAGGCATGGTGAATCACAGTAAACATCGCCAGTTGATTCACTATGTAATCGTGGATTTACATGGGAATAAGGTACTTTATTTAATCTTAGATTAACATTAGCTCTAGGTACTTGATGCAATCTTAGATTGACAATGGCTGTATGTGCTTAATGTTATCTTAGATTAACATCCTAATAAGGTACTTTAAATAATCTTTGACTGACATCGGCTCAAGATATTTTTCTATTCGTGGTATTAGCATTTAGAATCACAGTACAAGATTTTGTTCGGATTTAGAATCACAGTACAAGATTTTTTTCGGATTTTAGAATCACAGTACACGATTTTGTTCGGATTTAGAATCACAGTACAAGATTTTGTTCGGATTTAGAATCACAGTACAAGATTTTTTTCGGATTTTAGAATCACAGTACACGATTTTGTTCGGATTTAGAATCACAGTACAAGATTTTGTTCGGATTTAGAATCACAGTACAAGATTTTGGTCGGATTTAGAATCACAGTACAAGATTTTGTTCGGATTTAGAATCACAGTACAAGATTTTGGTCGGATTTAGACAATCAGAGTTGTTGGGTTTCTGAACTATTCCGTAACAATTGTGGTTTGTAAACATTCCTGTAATAAATGTGTTTTGTAAACAATCCTGTAGTAAATGTGTTTGGTAAACAATCCTGTAGTAAATGTGTTTGGTAAACAATCCTGTAATAAATGTGTTTGGTAAACAATCCTGTAATAAATGTGTTTTGTAAACAATCCTGTAATAAATGTGTTCCTTGTACACACTTGCTCAAGTGTGTACTCGAGTGATATGTCAGTACCAGAAACTGATCAGTTGTACGTCATCATCTTTGTAATGGACTGGTCAGCTGTGTAATGGACTGGTCAGTTGTGTAATGGACTGGTCAGTTGTGTAATGGACTGGTCAGTTGTGTAATGGACTGGTCAGTTGTGTAATGGACTGGTCAGTTGTGTGATGGACTGGTCAGTTGTGTAATGGACTGGTCAGTTGTGTAATGGACTGGTCAGTTGTGTAATGGACTGGTCAGTTGTGTGATGGACTGGTCAGTTGTGTAATGGACTGGTCAGTTGTGTATTGGACTGGTCAGTTGTGTAATGGACTTTCACAAGACTGGACTTTGTGTGACTGGGGGGTGAGTGAGATCGTCTCACCCTCCAGGTTCACAAAATCAATCCACGCTGTCGTTTCTCAGTCTGAGAGTCACCACTAGACTGAGGGGTCACTCAACACAGACCAACGCAGACAAATAAAGCAGACAATCGAGCCGCACGTTTCAAACAGAAAGTCTGTGCCAGACAAATAAAACAGACAGAAATCACAAAACGACCACATTGTACCTACACAACTAGCAGTAACGCCCCCAAAAAGTCCTCCATCACATTTATCGACGTCATTCATCACATTTATTTTTTTTTATATTCTCCCGACGGGAATTCAGAAATATTTGATCAAAGCAAAAATTCTACCCGCGAGTGTACTGGTGCAACCCAACACTAATCTTACTGTACCTCTATCTTATGTGAGCTTAATGGGTGCTGGAGGTCACGATAGAGGCGGATATTAGCACCACATGGGGCCTTAGACAAGGGAGACGTGGGGTGGGGGAGTCATTTTGGACAGACGTGGGGGTAGACGTTAGAAGACACTCAAGTTTAGTATCGGGGAAGCGACAAGTGCATCGTTTCAAATCTGCTGGCCTGCTAGTGACCTTAGCACTTAGTAATGTGAACACGCGACTGACGCCGTAAACAAGATTATGTGAACTAAAACGTCTGCTAAAATGTGGCAATAGGTAGGATAATTTAATAATGCGTAATTGAACATGACGAATATGACAGTGTTTCTTCCAGACTTTTTTCTCCGGGGGGGCACTTGAAATTTTTGGTGGGGCGGTAGACTTTCTTCGGGGGCGGACACTGTTAAAAGTATATATTTTCTATATAAATTATATAAATTTCATTTCGTTCGGGGGGGGGGGGGGGGGCGGTAAAAGAGATGCCTGGAAGAAACTCTGTGCCCCTTGGAGAAAAAAGTCTTGAATAAACACGGATGTTCACCCTGTTGTAACAGGTGACTTATAATATTGAAGTTTGCGTGTTGTACAACGTGACTTACCCACGATATTGAAGCTGTTGTACCACGTGACTTACCCACGATATTGAAGCTGTTGTACCACGTGACTTACCCACGATATTGAAGCTGTTGTACCACGTGACTTACCCACGATATTGAAGCTGTTGTACCACGTGACTTACCCACGATATTGAAGCTGTTGTACCACGTGACTTACCCACGATATTGAAGCTGTTGTACCACGTGACTTACCCACGATGTTGAAGCTGTTGTACCCCGTGACTTACCTACAATGTTGAAGCTGTTGTACCCCGTGACTTACCTACAATGTTGAAGCTGTTGTGACTTACCCGCCCACGATGTTGAAGCTGTTGTACCCCGTGACTTACCTACAATGTTGAAGCTGTTGTACCCCGTGACTTACCTACAATGTTGAAGCTGTTGTGACTTACCCGCCCACGACGTTGAAGCTGTTGCACCACGTGACTTACCCACGATGTTGAAGCTGAGGTTCGCCCTGTTCCGTGACCTTCTGGAGTGACCTGCCCTGGGCGAGACCTTGACCTTGGCGTTGCTCGCCCTCGGGGACGCCGCCATCTTGGTCCCGGCTGTACCCTGGGGAGCCAGCGACTCCTCTGTGGGGGTGGGGGTGCCTACGTCATGGGAGGTGTTGCTGGCCCTGGGGTGGATTGGGACGCTGGTGGGTCGAGGCTGCTGGTGGTGGGAGCGGTTAGGTGAGTTGACAGGCGAGTCGTTGAGTGAATCTGAGAAATTCAAATTAAAACCTGGCTCATTAGTCGGAGACAACCGTCACACCGTAATTAGTGCATTAATTACGTATCCTCATCAATGGCTTAGCTGATTCAAAGAAAGTAAATCAACACGGGTCGATAATTCCAGCAATTTTACTATGCTTGTTCAGATAATTTTTAATCACATCTACATACATGTTAATCAAATCCTAATTTTTAAATAAGTTATAACGTTTTGTGGATTGATGTTTCAGGAATTCGCCTGCAACTGCATATACTATGGCAACCACACTTAAAAAAGTGGTCAGCCGCATTAAATAAATGTGGCCAGCCGCACTAAATAAATGTGGCCAGCCGCACTAATTAGATGTGAACAGACTCACTAATTAGATGTGGACAGACCTACTAATTAGATGCTGAGGGTAAACCGCGAACTGACCTTCTAATTAAAATAAACTGCTCGCATGCTAAAGAGGGTAAAATGCGAACTGATCTTCTAATCAAAATGATTTTGCTCCCATGCTGAGGGTAAAACGCGAACTGACCTTCTAATTAAAATAAACTGCTCGCATGCTGAGGTTAAAATGCGAACTGACCTTTTAATTAAAATAAACTGCTCGCATGCTAAAAAGGGTAAAATGCGAACTGACCTTCTAATTAAAATGATTTTGCTCCCATGCTGAGGGTAAAATGCGAACCAACCTTCTAATTCCTGCAAGTACCACTGTCCTTTGGGGCCGCGATAGAAACATCCAAATGCCGGGTTGTGTCTGGGCATGTAGACTCCACTGTGGTCAACACTCTTGGAGTCCAGGCAGTGAGCCCTGTGTGGACATAGAGGGTTAATGTTTAGACTAGACAGGACATACAGGGTTAATGTCTAGACGGGGCAGGACATACAGGGTTAATGTCTAGACGGGGTAGGACATACAGGGTTAATGTCTAGACGGGGCAGGACATACAGGGTTAATGTCTAGACGGTGGACTGTGGGGCAGGACATACAGGGTTAATGTCTAGACGGGGCAGGACATACGGGGTTAATGTCTAGACGGAGCAGGACATACAGGGTTAATGTCTAGACTGGACAGGACATACAGGGTTAATGTCTAGACGGGGCAGGACATACAGTGCTAATGTCTAGACGGGGCAGGACATACAGGGTTAATGTCTAGACGGGGCAGGACATACAGGGTTAATGTCTAGACTGGACAGGACATACAGGGTTAATGTCTAGACGGGGCAGGACATACAGGGTTAATGTCTAGACGGGGCAGGACATACGGGGTTAATGTCTAAACAATGGGCTTTAAGTATTAGGAATATTTTTTTTTTTACAAATACAATTGTTTTGGGTGATATTTTGTAAAGAATTAAAAATTGTTTAGAAATTATTTAAAAGTTTTTGAGCACGATTATATTTTTTTTATTATTTTAAAACAATTTTAAATGTGAACACCAGACACAAAAGCGTTCAAGAAATGTATGGATTACATGTTAGAGGGCGCTGTGGGTGGGAAGGAGGCAGGGCTGATAAGGCAGGCGCCCGAGGTCCCGGAGTTTTAGAACCCTGGAATTTTCCTATAAAACCAGTATAAATTTCCCTTTTACTAGAATAATGAATCTATAATATAAGCCGCCAGCTAGTGTGTCCGTCATGTTGTATACACTTTATCTTCGCGGGTCTGGTGTGAGTCGTGCATTTCGTGTGTTCGTCGGCGGTTCACATTACATCATGTGTGTGTGGGGGGGGGGGGGGGCCGGGGGATGGGAGGGGTTGGATCTGAGCGGACAGGCGGACCTTCGAGAAAGCATCGCGCCATTTTAAAAATGGAATAAAACAATAATCAATGAGACCTAGCTTAGAGGCTATTCAAATTTTCTTTAAAAAAAAAAAATGAAAACACGACCACTTCAGTTTTTTGTTTCCTGTCTAAAAAAAGGGTGTTTTAAACACCTCACGGTGTCATTCTACTTTCATCGTTGTTCATCTCGCCTTAACGATGCTCTAACTTTATTCATTAGAATACAAACGAAAGACAGAAGTCATTGGGGTGCGGGGTTTCTTTCAGGGCGGAATTGAGCGACCCCAACAATACAATATTTATTTCATTAAAAGATAAACCAGAGAATTAACTAATGAAATTGACTAAACCAATAATTAACTAATTATTAACTAATAAAATTGACTAAACCAATAATTAACTAATAATTAACTAATAAAATTGACTAAACTAATAATTGACTAATAAATAACTAAACCAATAATTGACTAATAATAATTAACTAAACCAATAATTGACTAATTATTGACTAATTGACTATGAAAAAAAATGACTAAAACAAAAAGTGACTAATAATAATTAACTAAACCGCTAAATGACTAAAAATTAACTAATAATATACTAAACCGCTAATTGACTAAAAATTAACTAATAATATACTAAACCGCTAATTGACTAAAAATTAATTACACTAAGCTAATCTAATAGTTCCGGTCTACAAGGTAGGCTTAGACCCGCCTCACCGTACGGCGGTATCGACGTCAGGCTAGGGCTAGGTACCGTCAACCACACGACCTACAACATCATCTTCTAGTCAACCACACGACCTACAACATCATCTTCTAGTCAACCACACGACCTACAACATCATCTTCTAGTCAACCACACGACATCCAACATCATCTTTTAGTCAACCACACGACCTACAACATCATCTTCAAGAGTTACACGCTATTCTTTTACACTCCTGATTTCACTCCTTTTACACATTCCGACCCACGGAAATATTTTTTTTGTGAGATTCATACCAGATTAGCCGTTAGAGGCTAATCACAACTGATCCAGATATACATACTATTTCAACATCTTTAGACCTGTACACCCTCAAGTTACAATCACAAGTGAGGGACACGGGGACAGTCAAAGTCATAAGAATTTAAGTCTTGCTTCAGGTAAACTTGTATAGCTAGGCCACGCCAAGCTTCTTCCTCTAACACAAGTTTCAAAAGTTCTAAACATCTTACAAAGATGTAAGGCCAGAACTTTAACTACACATTAGAAGTTAAAACATGACCAGAAGTCCTGAGAAACACAACATTTTCCTTCGACAAGTGGCATGCGTCGAATCATGAAACATATTGACCTGCTTCAGTCAAACGTGCACAGCAAGGCCACGTCAACCTTGTTCTACTAGCAACTAGACTTGAGAGAATCTAAACGGATCTTACAAAGTTGTAAGATTAGAGCAATCTAAGCCGTAGCAGTTAGAAGTTTAAAGAAGGCGAGAAATCCTTTGAAATGCACATTTTCATTTGCGAAGTCAGCGCGCGCCGAATCTTGGCACACACAAGTAAGATTCTGGCACATTTATAGAAATAGGCCACGGCAGTCTTCTTCTGCTAACGAACACGTCTTGAATTACTATTCTTAAAAGTTCTAAGAAAGTCTTAGAAATCGTAAGAATGGCGAACTCGCTAGATGATAAAGAATGTCGAGATCCTATGAGAGAAAAAATTCCATAGGCAGAATTGTGAGGGTTAGAATCGTGGAATACACAATGCTTCAGTCAAACTTCATACTCAGGCTGCGTCAACCTTTTTTTCTTCTACCAAACACGTCATAAAACTTCTGAGAAGTCTTAATAAGTGCACCATAATGTTAAAAGTGAAGGATGGCAGACTCCTTAAGGCAAAAATTCGATTTGGCAAGTGTACTACGCGCTAGTTTCATGAACCAACAAATGCTCGAGTGAAACGCGGGTAGCTAGGCCGCGCCAAACTTACTTCTCCTAACATCCCAGTTTTAGAAATAAGACATCTTAGTAAGTCTAAGACTACTTGGTCTAAAAGTCTAAAACAAAGAGCTAGAAGTTACAAATTTGGCGAGTTCCTATGAAACTCACATTTTTACTCCCGCAAGTCTGGGACGCGCCGTCGTAGTAGGTCAAGCGGTCACGTGACAACAACTTGTCCATGCAAACACAAGGTCATACAAGTTCAAAGAGATGACCTTACAAGTTCAGTAGTTTTTCTTACAGACACCTTTCACGCCACGGCTGGTCGAATCGGACCAGGACATTTTCAGCGAGATTCAGACCTGAACAGAAATACAAACACCGCACACAGACAAAAAGTTATTCAGAAGGACAGCCACATAGACTGTCAACCTCTGTTACAGATATAAAAAAAAAGTTATTCAGAAGGACAGCCACATAGACTGTCAACCTCTGTACACATAATATAAAAAAAGTTATTCAGAAGGACAGCCACATAGACTGTCAACCTGTTACATAAATTAAAAATAGGCTCAGATCCGCCCAACCCATGAAGGTTGAACGTCTGACCAGGTATCGAATACCGTTCATATAAACAGACCAAACGCGGAGTCAGAGCGTTCGTATCAAACTAAGTCTACTCGCCGAGTCAGGACGTGGGTAAAACAAGCCTGACGCCGCGTCAGGGCTGTACAAACCGGAGTACGGTGTGCGCAGGCCCGGCGACGAGACGCAAGCGGGTGATACCTGTTCCCGACTGAGACGGCCTCTGTTCAATCCGTGCTACCCGACCGGGCGCTGGTGGGGATATACGTGCTACCTAGCCGGACGGATGCCGGACATACAGCCAACCGGACCTGATCAAGCGGGGAATATTTTGGCGTGAGTGAACACAGCCTAGGCTTGACCAATGATCTCTGGACTCGGCTGGTCTATTGATACAGTTTGCGCGTACCTACAAGAAGACATGTTACCACAATCGTCCCCAGCGGTGTCCACAGTAACGGCAGATATTCTCATTTCAAATCTTCTCTCTCTACGATTTCTATAAATAATCTTGTGTGATCGCAATCGGAAGTTTGACCACCTAGTGTTTACATTACCTTGCAGATTCATTTGCGCATTCATTAAAGGTGCGCAATAGTTCAGAATTGTAAAAACTTGTTTTTCAATTACAGCAGTTTTCTTATGATAAAATTCCAAGGTAAGATTTGGTAAGGCTGTGTTTATTTCAAAGTAAAATCAAATTGATCAAATAGGCTAATCTTACTAAAAAAATATGATACAACAAATAAATCAAATTTCCACGTTTAGCGCTAAATGAATACTTGGTCTGACTTCAAAATAAATATGATTTATTCTTAGGATTGCTAAGTCTCCATACTACTTGCAACTTCGGCCACAGGACTGACAGACATTGACCGAAGGAGTGCATAAACTGACAGGGGGTAGTTGACAATGAGGGGTAATGTCCTGATACTGCACCTAGCACCTGCTACACCCACCTGTTGTACCTAGCACCTGATACACCCATCTGTTGTACCTAGCACCTGCTACACCCACCTGTTGTACCTAGCACCTGCTACACCCACCTGTTGTACCTAGCACCTGATACACCCACCTGTTGTACCTAGCACCTGCTACACCCACCTGTTGTACCTAGCACCTGCTACACCCATCTGTTGTACCTAGCACCTGCTACACCCACCTGTTGTACCTAGCACCTGCTAAACCCGCCTGTTGTACCTAGCAATTGCTACACCCACCTGTTGTACCTAGCACCTGCTACACCCACCTGTTGCATCTAGCACCTGCTACACCCACCTGTTGTACCTAGCACCTGCTACACCCACCTGTTGTAGCGTGCACCTGCTACACCCACCTGTTGTACCTAGCACCTGCTACACCCACCTGTTGTACCTAGCACCTGCTACATCCACCTGTTGTACCTAGCACCTGCTACACCCACCTGTTGTACCTAGCACCTGCTACACCCACCTGTTGTACCTTGCACCTGCTACACCCACCTGTTGTACCTAGCACCTGCTACACCCACCTGTTGTACCTTGCACCTGCTACACCCACCTGTTGTACCTAGCACCTGCTACACCCACCTGTTGTACCTTGCACCTGCTACACCCACCTGTTGTACCTTGCACCTGTGAGGAATGAGTAGAAACTTTCGTCACCTGGGCTTGTCTGCAGCTGGAAATACCTGGGACACACATATATATATATATATATATATATATATATATATATATATATATATATATATATATATATATATATATATATATATATATACATATATATATATATATATATATGTTTCTATATAGACAGTCATACACTTACTGAGTGTGTAAGGGGCTGCCAGAAATCTGATGACTGTGTGTGCTGGATGAGTGACGTATCTCCTCCAACCCTGGGTAAACATTAAGGCTGAGTTAAGTACTCATACACACGTCCACACACGTTTATACACGAACACACACGTTCACACCAGTTCATACACGTTCACACATATACAGAGCTGCATATCCACACACATACACGTCAACACACACACACACACACACACACACACACACACACACACTAACAGGCGTACTACAGGCACAAATGGTTTTATATATTTAAAAACTCTACACACAAAAACGTATATAATCCTACACACACTGTCCCTCACACACTACCACACAACAGTAACACACTTCTCAGATATGTAAGCACACACATCAGTCTGTGATAACACACATTAGTCCAGCACCGTTGTTCTACTCGTGTGTTTTGAACATTGTGTAACAAAGTTTATGTTAAACAGCAGCAGGGTCGATTACTGCCCTTGTTAATGGCTTATGTTAAACAATACTACCCATGTCTAAGGCTTCGACACCAAGTCGTGATTGTTCCCTTCTGGTATTGAAAAACTTTTTGGCGTTCGTTAAAGTATAATAGTATAAGGTCACTAAGGACTAATGCCAAACGCCAAGATGTTGGCAACTGATGAAATATGACATGATCTTTGCCAACTTATGCCTAATGACATATTTGACAACTGATGCCATATGGTATCTGGATGACAAATGACAGCTACTCACGTTGATGATAGTCACGTCCTATGGTGACTGGCGCCGATACAGACCGATTTCTTGCTCGTAGTAAACTGTCAAATGGGGGTGGGGCGGGAGGGGGGACAATTTATAACATTACAAGTTTTATCCTCATGAGAATACATAATATATAACATAAAGTTTAGTATTTAGCAAGTCAACGAAGAAGTTTCTAAAACATTTGGTGTCATATGTATTGTTTTTTTAATGAATTAGCCTGAGGTTATTGGTTTATTGAATGTTATTCATACGGCGTTTAAAGCATTTAGCTGGAGGATAATCTCTCTTAAACTATGCTGGGGAATAATCTCCCTTATACCATGCTGGAGAATGATCTCCCTTATACTAAGCTGGAGAATTATCTCCCTTATATCATGCTGGAGAATGATCTCCCTTATACATGACCTGGCCATACTCCAAAAACTAGATTGAGACGATGATGAGATCCAATGGATGGGTTCACTTGATATCAGAAGAATGGGGACGTGGGAGTAAGCAGGGTTGATGTCACAATAGGTGGGGTGGAGCGGTTGGACGGACAAAACATGGGCTACACAAAGGATGGAATGGTCACTGGTCCTATTGGACGGCCAAAACATGGGCTATACAAATTAAAGAATGGTCACGTACGTGGTCCTGGTTGGACGGCCAAAACATGGGCTACTCAAATTAAAGAATGGTCACGTACGTGGTCCTGGTTGGACGGCCAAAACATGGGCTACTCAAATTAAAGAATGGTCACGTACGTGGTCCTGGTTGGACGGCCAAAACATGGGCTACTCAAATTAAAGAATGGTCACGTACGTGGTCCTGGTTGGACGGCCAAAACACGGGCTACACAAATTAAAGATTGGTCACGTACGTGGTCCTATTGGACGGCCAAAACATGGGCTACTCAAATTAAAGAATGGACACGTACGTGGTCCTGGTTGGACGGCCAAAACACGGGCTACACAAATTAAAGATTGGTCACGTACGTGGTCCTATTGGACGGCCAAAACATGGGCTACTCAAATTAAAGAATGGACACGTACGTGGTCCTATTGGACGGCCAAAACATGGGCTACACAAATTAAAGAATGGTCACGTACGTGGTCCGGGTTGGACGGCCATGCTGGATGTTGACGGCCGACTGGGCGCTGTTCCGGAGCTCCGTGGCCGACAGGTACTGATGCATGCGGTTGGGCCGGTAGTACAAGACGCCGTCATTACGGACGGGGGGCGCACATTTGGTGGGGCTGGTGAGCCCCCGGGGGTAGGAACCCCCACCACTTGATTGGTCGATCTGAAAAGTTCAAGGTTAACCGGGACAGTGTATTGAGCTGAAACTGCTTTAAAAACTTTTAAAACAAATCATGTGGATATAATACATTAAAATCAACGTCAAAACATTTTGAATAAATTACCATTATGTGATATTAATAATGTTTTGAAGCTATTTTTTTTTTATTTGAAAAAGAATGAGCCGCGAAATTAAAAAAAAAAACCAAACAGAATTTAATTTTAAAACCAGTACTTTAAAGTACTTAAAGGGATGTAAACAGTCAGCGCCCCACTGAATATCAATATTATCTTGAGTTACTGCCCTTTGACCGTAATTAATTGTCATGAATGTAAATGTCAAGTTACGAATGTAAATGTCAAGTCACGGATGTAAATGTCAAGTCTTCACGGACGCAAATGTCAAGTCACAGACGCAAATGTCAAGTCACAGATGTAAATGTCAAGTCCCGGATGTAAATGTCAAGTCACGGATGTAAATGTCAAGTCACGGATGTTAAAGTCAAGTCAGTAATGTAAATGTCAAGTCACGGATGTAAATGTCAAGTCACGAATGTAAATGTCAAGTCACGGATGTAAATGTCAAGTCACGGATGTAAATGTCAAGTCACGGATGTAAATGTCAAGTCACGGATGTAAATGTCAAGTCACGGATGTAAATGTCAAGTCACGGATGTAAATGTCAAGTCACGGATGTAAATGTCAAGTCACGGATGTAAATGTCAAGTCACGGATGTAAATGTCAAGTCACGGATGTAAATGTCAAGTCACGGATGTAAATGTCAAGTCACGGATGTAAATGTCAAGTCACGGATGTAAATGTCAAGTCCCGGATGTAAATGTCAAGTCACGGATGTAAATGTCAAGTCACGGATGTAAATGTCAAGTCACGGATGAATGTCAAGTCACGGATGTAAATGTCAAGTCCCGGATGTAAATGTCAAGTCACGGATGTAAATGTCAAGTCACGGATGTAAATGTCAAGTCACGGATGTAAATGTCAAGTCACGGATGTAAATGTCAAGTCACGGATGTAAATGTCAAGTCCCGGATGTAAATGTCAAGTCACGGATGTAAATGTCAAGTCACGGATGTAAATGTCAAGTCACGGATGAATGTCAAGTCACGGATGTAAATGTCAAGTCACGAATATAAATGTCAAGTCACGGATGTAAATGTCAAGTCACGGATGTAAATGTCAAGTCACGGATGTAAATGTCAAGTCACGGATGTAAATGTCAAGTCACGGATGTAAATGTCAAGTCACACCCGAAGTATCCTGACCTTGTTTGCTGCCAGAAAGTCGTTGGTCATCAACGGCGACTCGTCCGTGTAGGCGGGCTCTTTGTGGACCAGCAGGGACCAGGTGGGCGTCGGCCCACATTTGTAGATGGCCTCGTCCCTCAGGATCTGCTGCACTTCCTGGTTACAGGTGTTAGACAGGTGGTTAGGTCAGTGTAGGGGGGAGACAGGTGGTTAGGTCAGTGTAGGGTGGAGGTAAGTGGTTAGGTCAGTGTAGGGTAGAGGTAGGTGGTTAGGTCATTGTAGGGTAGAGGAAGGTGGGACACAGAAATCACAGAAGGATGAAATATGTGTGTATGTTTAGATCAAAAGTAAATGATAAGCATTCCATACACAGATGTGACAATGTACCCAACTATTCATTGTACCAAATGTGACACTGTACCCCTTTACTCACCTGTCTGTACCCCACCACTTACCTGTACCAGACGTGACACTGTACCTAATCACTCACCTGTACCAGACGTGACACTGCACCCCACCACTCACCTGTATCAGACGTGACACTGTACACCACCACTCACCTGTACCAGACGTGACACTGTACCCCACCACTTACCTGTACCAGACGTGACACTGCACCCCACCACTCACCTGTACCAGACGTGACACTGTACACCACCACTCACCTGTACCAGACGTGACACTGTACACCACCAGTCACCTGTACCAGACGTGACACTGTACCCCACCACTCACCTGTACCAGACGTGACACTGTACCCCACCACTCACCTGTACCAGACGTGACACTGTACCCCACCACTCACCTGTACCAGACGTGACACTGTACCCCACCACTTACCTGTACCAGACGTGACACTGTACCTCTCCACTCACCTGTACCAGACGTGACACTGTACCTCACCACTCACATGTACCAGACGTGACACTGTACCCCACCACTCACCTGTACCAGACGTGACACTGTACCCCACCACTTACCTGTACCAGACGTGACACTGTACCCCACCACTCACCTATACCAGACGTGACACTGTACCCCACCACTCACCTATACCAGACGTGACACTGTACCCCACCACTCACCTATACCAGACGTGACACTGTACCTCACCACTCACCTGTACCAGACGTGACACTGTACCCCACCACTCACCTGTACCAAACTGTGCTGGAACTCAACACCTTTCTCACACGATAGAAGACTTGGGGGAAACTTTTTGCTACCTGCAACATTAAATGGTCAGATAGATAGAAGGTCAGATACATGGTCCAATAGATACATTGGTAGATAGATACATGGTCAGATACATGGTCAGTCAGATACATGGTCAGATAGATACATGGTCAGATACATGGTCAGATACATGGTCAGATAGATACATGGTCAGATACACGGTCAGTCAGATACATGGTCAGATACATGGTCAGATAGATACATGGTCAGATACACGGTCAGTCAGATACATGGTCAGATACACGGTCAGTCAGATACTTGGTCAAATACATGGTCAGATACATGGTCAGATACATGGTCAGATACATGGTCAGATACATGGTCAGATACATGGTCAGTCAGATACATGGTCAGATAGATACATGGTCAGACAGATACATGGTCAGATAGATACATGGTCAGACAGATACATGGTCAGATAGATACATGGTCAGATATATGGTCAGATACATGGTCAGATACATGGTCATATAGATACATGGTCAGATAGATGGTCAGATAGATACATGGTCAGATACATGGTCATATAGATACATGGTCAGAAACATGGTCAGATACATGGTCAGATACATGGTCAGATAGATACATGGTCAGATACATGGTCAGATAGATACATGGTCAGAAACATGGTCAGATACATGGTCAGATACATGGTCAGATAGATACATGGTCAGATACATGGTCAGATAGATACATGGTCAGATACATGGTCAGATAGATGGTCAGATACATGGTCAGATACATGGTCAGATAGATACATGGTCAGATACATGGTCAGATACATGGTCAGTTAGATACATGGTCAGATACATGGTCAGATAGATACATGGTCAGATACATGGTCAGATACATGGTCAGATACATGGTCAGATAGATACATGGTCAGATAGATACATGGTCAGATAGATGGTCAGATACATGGTCAGATAGATACATGGTCAGATAGATACATGGTCAGATACATGGTCAGATAGATACATGATCAGATACATGGTCAGTTAGATACATGGTCAGTCAGATACATGGTCAGTTAGATACATGGTCAGATACATGGTCAGATAGATACATGGTCAGATACATGTTCAGATAGATACATGGTCAGATACATGGTCAGTCAGATACATGGTCAGAAACATGGTCAGTTAGATACATGGTCAGATACATGGTCAGATAGATAAAAGCTACTGAACGGGGTTAAAGCAAATATTTGAGAGAGGGGCAGATTTAATTAAGACTGACTGGCTTGCTAACACTTTTTATATAGCTACACAATTTAAATTGTATATACAACAAAGTAGAATTATTTTGTTTTATTCTTTGTTAACACATGTATCATGCTAACATTAAACTCTTCAGCGCGAGGTAATAAAAAAATATATCTCAACATCCAACATTTTAAAAGCTTTTACAACTGCTTTATGTAATGAAGATGTCTGATACAGGTATTTTATTTTTTAATATATTTTCCTATGAACTTGACGCCTTGTTGAGATGGGTGTTTCATTAAATTTGAGACAAACGAACCCTCAAACAAAATGAACAAAGCGTCGAGAGTAATGTCCCTTTAATTCAGAGAAAATCGAATTACATGCATTTAATTGAAGCATCCAAATCGATCGCTGGTTCAATTATTGATAAAAGCATGCGGCTGCAGTTAATTAAGTGGATGGCCGCCCTCTGTGAGCGAGTAGTGGCGTGATTTGTGCGCTCTGTTTGAGTGAGCTCATGCGGTTTGTTATCGGTGGGGGGGGGGGGGAAGGAGGGGGGTGGTGGGGACTTACAAGGTGTATCAGCTTACAAACATGGATGTGTACAGGTTAGGGTTTAAAGGCTAAATTACGTCACTGTAAGGAAATATAACAGAACTATTGACGTTTATACTATACACTGCGTAGTCAATGCATTGTAGTATAACGCTGTCAATATATTGTTTTATAATGCTGTCGATGTATTGTTGTATATTTGTGTTACTGTATAACACAATCTATCTGCTGCACAGCCATTAGACAATGTTAAAAAAATAACCGGTAGTACCAATAACCGTGTGAACGGACGAAACATTCTTGTAGTTTTGTCAAGCACTGAGACACGGTACATTTTGTGTTAGTACATGGGGGGAGGAGGGGGGGGTAGGCCTACTCATCACAGATGTGTATGTACACAATGTGTTATTTCACATGTTTGTACACAAACTGTACACTCAAATATATGTTAGATACAATGTGTACTGTCAATCGTGATCGCACAAAGTGTAGGCTACTGTCAATCATGATTGCATACAATATAGTTCTTCACTTTTAATTACCGAAACAACGCATCAACGTTGTCACTTGACTGTCATTTCCTCAAATGAAACGATTTGTTTTTCTGTGGTTTCTCGATTAATAAATTGTTAACTAAAAATATCAGTTTACAGTAATTATAACTAACGAATTATATTTCAACAGTAATTATAATTAATGATCTATATATCAACTGTAATTATAATTAATGAGCTACATTTCAACAATAATTATAATTAGGCTTAATGAGGTATATTTCAACAGTAATTATAATTAATGAGTTATATTTCAACAGTAATTATAATTATTTTGATAGATTTCAACAGTAACTATGATTAATGAGCTATATTTCAGCAGTATTTATAATTAATGAGTTATATTTCAACAGTATTTATAATTAATGAGTTATATCTCAACTGTAATTATAACAACTGCGTCACGAACGATGACAGAATGACACGTTTCTAGACCACAGCTCCAAAATTTCCCAGTCCCACGTGACAGGCAGGTCCATAAATTCCAGAATTTTCCCAATCGATAGTTTTATTGCTGCCAGAGATTATCATAAAAACCAAGGTAGGCTGTGTGCCATACAGTTGACCTCGAGTTTAATCAAATCTATCCCAGGCCGAGAGAGTCCACCTTTCTGATGTATACTGCTAGCCAGCGTCCTGGGTAAATATAATTTGCGCCCTCCCCCCACTCACACACACACAATTTATATATAGTTGTTCACCCTTTTACTATTCACTGTCCTTAACAGATTTTATTTCAGTGATAAATTAATGTATCAAACAAATACATCCCTACAACTAACTAGTAGGATATTATCTTAACATCTACTGTGTTTAATTCAATAATGTAGCTCAAAAAGAGGTTTTAATTTATTTTTTTCGCGGGGCATTTTCCCCACAAGCCCCCCCCCCCCCCTGTTACGCCTCTGGTAAACCCCACTTTAAAATATGGTATGCGCTTCTGGAAAAGGCAATCAATGTAGCTACTAGTAGCAAATATGCTACAAGGTGTGATGGTAGCATAATTAAAGGCTACTTTGTCAAGCTGCCCGTGAGGTAATGTTTACCCAGACTTAATGCTTGTCAAGGGGTGGATGTTGAAGGAAGGATTAAGTGATTACCGTCCCCATTCATGCGGGGACTGCTGGGTAAACTAGTAGCACTAACATGCACACAAACAGACTGATTGGTTTGTGGTGGTTCTGTGGGGGGAGGGGGGGTGCGTGGTGGGGGGGGGGGCAGCAATAACATGTACACAAACAGACATTGATTTGTAGTGGTAGTGTGGGGGAGGGGGAGGCGGGGAGGGGAGCAGCAAAAAACATGCACACAGACTAATTGATTTATGGTGGTGGTGGTGGTGTGGTGGTGTGGTGGTGTGGTGGTGGTGGGGTGGTGTGGGAGCCCAGGTTACGAACCTGTAACCGACTGGTTGAACCAGCTACCGCTTGACCACCACGCGTTATTTACCAGACGACTGAGTGCGGAAACGGCTAATTGTCGTACTTCTACCCCCCCCCCCCCAATGTATGTGACTGTGCCGTACCCAGCCATTGTACGTGTAGAGCCAGCTATTATGCTAATCAGTCAGTCTTGAAGAAAGCTAATTCCGTATGTACACTCGTCGGCATTCAAAAAAAAAAAATCCCAGATCAATATATATATCGATCTCTAACTGTGTTGATTTATGGTAAATAAACATTGTTTTTGTATTTTAAACCGGCCACGGCACTAATATTGGGTGGGTGGGTGGGGGGTTTACTGAGATTAAACTGGGGATAGAAGGGTTGGCCGAGTAAACTAGTAGTATATCTCGCCCTGTCAAAACGGTCCGGGACAATTCGGCCCCGTCAAATCGACCTTCGACAAAACGACCCAGTCTAAATAGCCCCGTCAAAAGGGCCCCGACTTATTGACTCCTGTCGAATAGGCTCCCGACATTTAGGCTCCCGACAAATGGACTCCCGACATATTGGCTCCCGACATAAGGGCTCACGACATATTGGCTTCCGACAAAATGACTCAGGACATATTGGCTCTACCTCCACTACCACTATAACCTCTTTTTAATGCCTGAATTAAATTGTTTTTCTAAAACTAACATCAATTCACAAACAAATCGAGCCCTTAACCGCTAAATTCCACCAATTCTAAAGTTTTGATAATGCTTAATTTACAACAGTAAAGATCTGTTGCTTAAAAGCGAGCACAGAAGTGTAAATGTATAATATTATACATGATATTTACAGCATTTTGTTTTGATAATCTACAAGAATACTGCAGGTAGGAATGTACAGCGTGGACTCCTTTACTCACACACTGAGTTGGAACAGCCTATAATCGACTAATTTATGGAAGTCATAGATACTGTTTCTTATAATAGATAAACTATTAGAAAAATAAGGCCTGCCGAACAAGAGATGCATACGTTGTATTACTTAAAAGTGTTGGATAAGCTAACTCTAAAGAATATTGATGAAGGGGTCCCACTGGCAGGTGTCATATTCAATGAGCCCGTTTTGCCGTGAGATTTAGTCTCTACAGAAACCGTATTATCAGTGGTTCTGTAGTCAAATTGACACGAGCCTATTTGTCATGAGCCAAAATGACGGCAGCCTATTTTTCGGGAGTCGTAATGACGGGGGCCGTTTTGTGGATAAACTAATTGGCGGGAGCCTGTATGTCGGGAGCCTAAATGACGGGGTCAAATTGACGGGGCTCTTATGTCGGGGCCGATTTGTCGGGGTCGTTTTGACGGGGCCGTTTTGTCATTGGCCGTTTTGACGCCGCACGCTCTACACTTACCCCTGTAGCCTCCGTGTGGTAGCCTCCCATTATCCAGCTGATTCCTCTCGGCCAGTTGCCGCCCCTCAAAAGACAAGTCCACGTACGGCATCATCAAGTGTGTTCTGGCACTCGCAGACACTAATCCATCACGTGTCACCCGGTGCCTCTCTCGTCACGACAACACACTGGATCACCTACACATCCAACATGTATACGTCACTGACACATCAGTGTGTTAGTTCTCACCACAGCACACCACTGTCAACTCCACAGGAAATCTTGACGCACTACAACAGCAACTGGAACTTCTAATCCGATGGTTTAATTGGCTTGTGACGTCAAGCAGCCATAAAACCTGTTGATGAAAAAAAAAGACACGTAGCATTTTTCCTCGCGAAACCTACGCAATATTTCCCTAGCTGTGTAGGCTAATCTATAATAACAAAATAATCAAATAAACATATTTTAAAAAAAATTCTTTCGAAAAAAAAACTAATGACCTTTCTACCATAAAAATAGGTATAAGCATTCATTCTTACAAAATGTATACAAAGTTGCTTTTTAAAAAAATTCTTTAGAAGTAGGCTTGTAAAAAAATGATTTGGTTACTGGTGAGGATTAGTGAAATAAAACTGAGAATAAAAAAACGATCCATTCAATAAGAAAATAAGTCGGATACAAAAAGGTTAGCTGTAAAATGTAACTCCGTTTCAAAGGTTACATTGTATTCGTTTAATCTCCAAATTACCCCCCCCCCCCCCCTCCTCCTCCCCTATCCACTACACTCTTCGTACCCGTAACGGCAGCTTAGTTTAAAGCTACGATTCATATTCAAAGTGATCCCATGTAAGGCCGTAAGTATAGGGGACCGTTAGGGTTCAGGTAGGTGATTGTGGAGAGTATAGAGCATTAGGTTACATTCAGTAGGTTAGTGAGAGGGAGGGGTATAATTATGGAGGGGGGGGGCATTAAACAGATATTTGTGAAGTAAGCCTTTTCGGGATGAAAAATAGGTATTTTCTGGATGTAGGAGGTAGGTCCTTTGTAGAGGTTGGTGATAGGTCTTTTTTTAGGTTGAGGTTAGGTATTTTTGTAGGTTGGTGAAAGGTCTATTTGTAGGTTGGTGATAGGTCTTTTTTAGGTTGGTGATAGGTTTTGTGTAGGTTGGTGATAGGTTTTGTTAGTTTGGTAATATTTTTTGTAGGTCGGTGATATTATTACATTGAGGTCTAATAAACCGGTAGTGATCTCCCCTAAACTTTCTCGAATATTCTTATATAAAACAACAGGGGATGGTAACTGGGGATATAGTTATGATTTTTAATCCATTTTAAATACTTAAACTTTTAAAAATAGAATAGAATCTCATAAAAAAAACATTGCGCACCAAGCAAACGCCGAATAAAAACGCGTATAATAGTGCGCAATATTATTAGTACTTTAAAAATTTACATTAGTTTTTTGAGAAATCGGAAGTAGCGTAAATTACTACTTCCAGTCAACGGAAATTACTCAAAATTTAACAGAAGGTAGAGAATTAGATCTTTTACTTACATGTGAAATTTCATTTATCTATCTGAAATAGTACTCAAGTTATAGGCTTTTGAAAAATTCAAAGTAGGAAAAGTACCACTTCCGGTTATCGGAAATCGCTCAAAAGTTGATACGGATCTACGATTTTGATAAAATACTTATATATGAAATTTCATCAACCTAGCTGTAACGGTACTCAAGTTATCGTGTTTACACACGGACAGACACACACACAGACACACACACACACAGACATACGGACAAGATTGCAAAATTATGTTTTTCCATATCAGTGAGGTGTAAAACGTCGAGATTTGTAAAAATCTCGATTTTTTTTTTTTGCACGATTACAATACTTTCTCTATACTACGTATATACGAGAAAGTAAAAAGGAGTTGAAGCATGTTCAAAGTTTAAATCTATTAAATCCATGTAACAAAATCATCGTGTGTTAATTAAGTTAATTAATTGGGCTTCCTGTGTGGTTCGACTTCGTGCTTGTACCTCAGCCTGGTACGATTAAGAGATCAATAAGTCTGAATGGGGTCTGCTGGTTAACTAAACGAACAATTAAAGACTGGATTAACACGAACATCGGGGCCGTTAATCGATACACGGCTAACAGGAAGTTCCAAGTTTTGTGTTGGTGTATAGGTCTTGTAACTTTGTGGTAGGTTTGTGTCATGGCTGATTTTTGTTGATGTAGGTTTATGTGATGGCTGATTTTTGTTGATGTAGGTTTATGTAATGACAGGTTTTTGTTGATGTAGGTTTATGAAATTACAGGTTTTTCTTAATCTGTAGGCACAGATCTTGTAGCTTAGGTGGGTTTACGTATTGGCTGATTTTTGTTGAGGTAGGTTTATGTAATGACAGGTTTTTGTTAATGTAGGCAGAGGTTTAGTAACTTAGATCGGTTTATGTAATGACGTTTTTTTTTTGTTGATATGTGATGATATGTGTTTGTTGATATGTGATGACATATGTTTTGTTGATGCCTTAGATCCGGTGCCTTAGGTAGATTTATGTAAGGATGTAAATTTTGGTGGAATATTGGATCAGTGGCTTGCTGTTGTACTTAAGGCTGCAGGACTGGCCACAAGACGCCTTAGGTAGCCTTTATTACACTTTAGTTCAGTAAGATTTGTCTTTTAGCAATCATTAAACTTTAGATAATCGACTGGGTCAGGTGATTAGGGTAAATTTAAATATGGGAATATGATGATAGTGACGTGGGATTTACTAATGCACACATACACACACATACACACACATACACACACATACACACACACACTTTAACAGATATGATCACATACACTGCGCAAACATTGTGATACATAAAGACGCACATGAAGACACAGTTAAACGCTCACATATATTGTAACGTAGGTTTACAACACAAGACACAACTGGCCGTCCACATTGAGACACAACTGGCCGTCCACATTGAGACACAACTGGCCGTCCATATTTAGACACAACTGGCCGTCCATATTAAGACACAAATGGCCGTCCATATTCACACACAACTGGCCGTCCATATTGAGACACAACTGGCCGTACATATTGAGACATAACCGACGGCCATTGTTTGCTGGATCGACAACAAAACAGTTTAGGTTTAAATTAGGTTTAAATTAGGTTTAAATTAGGTTTAAATTAGGTTTAAATTAGGTTTAAATTAGGTTTAAATTAGGTTTAAATTAGGTTTAAATTAGGTTAAATTTAGGTTTATATTACCTTTAAACTAGGTTTAAATTTGGCTTAAATTCAGAGTTTCTTCCATGCATCTCTTCGGGGGGGGGGGGGGGGGGGGGTGGGGCTTAGCCCCCCCGAAAAAATTTTACCGCTCCCCCCCCCGCTCGAAATGAAATTTATATAATTTATATAGAAAATATATATTTTTAACATAGTCCCCCCCCCCCCCGAAGAAAGGTCTACCGCCCCCCCCCCCCCCCCCCCGAAAATTTCAAGTGCCACCCGGAGAAAAAAGTCTGGAAGAAACACTGCTTAAATTAGGTTTAAAATTAAGTTTGGGTTACGGGTAGGTAAGACACTTCTTAATTTACCAATATCTACATCTGCAGGTTAATTTATAGCTCTGTGTCCTCATTTTCTTTTTTGTAATTTAACGTTGACACGTTGTTCTCTCTAAAATTATTTTTAGCTGTCACTGAAGTGTTCTATAAATAAATACAACATATGGTTCGTTTCTGTATTTTCTTGTTGCGCATATACGTGCGTCTATTTTACTCATTGTAGCATAATTAGGTTATAAGTCTTAATACACAATAATAATAATAAGCAAAATTTTACTAGCACTTAAAGTATTTACATAAATACGTGAAAATATCACTTGAAGGACTGATGTTCCAGATTTTAGAATAACATTTTTGAGTCGGTCTATTCGATTCGTTTTAAATCCAAACATTCTTCATTATAACCATAAGATTGACATTTAAAGCCTAACTACACAACAGTAAGTGTTGACTGACTACAAAAATGTATTACTTACAATTTTATTTTTTAACAGTTAATCCAGTCTCCAACAAATGCTCCTATGTTCAACACAAATTAACAGCACAAAAAGGCGCCAAGTGTATTTGCTTACAAGGTGTTTAATCTCGTTCATTCGATCACCAGTCCGCTAAGTTAAACACACACGACTGCTACTCTGTCGGTCTAGCAGACTGTAACACACGCAGATCTGCTACACCACCCCCACCCCCTACACACACACATTGATAACCCCCACGCCACCCCACGCCACCCCACTCCGCCATTTCCGTTATTTAGCGGCCCTAGGTGTAGTAGACTAGCGTACCAGCGGAGTTAGGGCCGCCATGTTGTTTACAGTGTCGTCATTGACAACCACGGCAGGCGATCTGTTCTCAACATGTCGAAGTTTAAATTCTTACCTGGCTGGCTCGAGACGGACAAAAATCACGTGGCTGTCACGCTGGCGTGACTGTTATAGCAGACACATTTCATCACGTGAGTGTCACGTTGGTCTAGTTTATAGCAGACACATTTCATCACGTGGGTGTCACGTTGGTCTAGTTTATAGCAGACACATTTCATCACGTGAGTGTCACGTTGGTCTAGTTTATAGCAGACACATTTCATCACGTGGGTGTCACGCTGGCGTGACACCCACGTGATGAAATGTGTCACGCTGGCGTGACACGTTTCATCACGTCGAAACGAAGGGAAGCTCATTGATAATATAAATTAAATAGCCTGTGTATGTGTGTGGGGGGGGGGGAGGATTTCATAAATTATGTCACGAAAGTAGTGAGCCACGGGGAGGGTAGTGAATTTATTTCAGCCTAACGTGAGGTAGGCATGTTAAATAAAAAAAGTATTTTGTTATGACATTCAGTGGCAAGTAAAGTTCCTCTATAGACCTAGCGATCCATTGGGCAGATGAAGTAGCGTTTATGTGTTTCTTGACCTCGGTATATGAAGGGATGGTGTGGTTAACACTATGCATAGCCGCCTTTACTTCCCTCAACGTTGGTAAGGCACCCATCAGAGCTGGGCCCTAACCGAGATTCGACCTGTAGACCTTCGGGTTAATAGCCAAACGCTCAACCATTCGACCACAAAGTCTCAGATCGTAAGAAAAGAGTAAACATCAAAGAGTTTAACCCCTTCCTCCCTACCCCTTCCCGCGCCTCTGATAACCCTCTCGTCTAACTCATCTGACTCTCTCCGACATTTTCACACTCGTACAAAGGCCTACAACTTGGATTACAATATAATCATTAGTGTAAGAAGAAAGGTTCGGTAACTCAGAGATAACCAACGTAATGGAACTCAATTTTCACAGTTGCCTCCCTTGAATAAGTACAAACGTGAAAGTTGTTAGGTTGATCATTCATGGAGAGGCGTAGCAAGGGGGGGGGGGGTGCGGACCACACCGGGTGACACCATTTAGGGTGACACCAATGCAAAAAATAGCAAAATATATAGAGAAAAATGATAATTCCACTTAATTAAGTGATTAATTCGAGTGTTAAATAGTCTTTTAAGAGGTGCGAAACGAATGTTTAAGGGGGGTGTAAATCGAAAGTTTGAGGGGGGGCGGGGGGGGGGGTGCAAATCGAAAGTTTGAGGGGGTCGCTACGCCTCTGGGGTCGACACCATTAAGTTCCGCACCGGGTGACACCCGACCTCGCTACGCCACTGCATTCATGGTGATCATTTAATGAACACACGAACGCTAAGTAAAGTATACTTAGGCCACGTGGTGGTATTACTTACACGATTTGCAATCAACACATACATGTATGTAAAGAGAGTACAAACAGGACATGTTTTATTGCTTTAATCAGAACATAAAAACGACCATTCATAAAATAACATATAAAACAGTGTTCTTATTATCACGATTTTCATATATCATTACATTAACAATGCAGATCCCAATAAAACATGTGTAATATTTATGAGGAGAACATTTTGTTGACTTGTGGAGCACATTGTTACAATATTTGTACAATTAAAACAGAATGTTTACAGTAGCTGCGGATCGCCATGTCCATGTAGCACCCAGCGCCCTTATCCAATCGCTTGTACCCGTCACTACACGAAAACATTCACAGCTCAGCAGAACAAGTCTTGGTAACAAAGTAAAAAAAATAATTTCTGTTGAACAATGGATACAGTTTGATGTTGATTATAAACAATCCCTTTCTGTGCGAAAAACAAGTCGGAAGTGACCATATCCATGTTGCGTTAGAGACTTGCTCTTGATTTTTCGTCTTTATGGTCAGCGATGTAGTTTTTTTCTTCAAAGTTAGACAGAGTGACACAGGTCCGATTTGGACTATATTACCAAGTGTACACGTGTACCAAGTGTACCGAGTGTACCGAGTGTACCAAGTGTACCAAGTGTACCAAGTGTACCAAGTGTACCAAGTGTACACGTGTACCAAGTGTACCAAGTGTACCAAGTGTACCGAGTGTACCAAGTGTACCGAGTGTACACATTACCAAGTGTACCAAGTGTACCAAGTGTACACGTGTACCAAGTGTACCAAGTGTACCAAGTGTACCAATTGTACCGAGTGTACCGAGTGTACCAAGTGTACCAAGTGTACCAAGTGTACACGTGTACCAAGTGTACCGAGTGTACCGAGTGTACCAAGTGTACCAAGTGTACCGAGTGTACCAAGTGTACCGAGTGTACCAAGTGTACCGAGTGTACACATTACCAAGTGTACCGAGTGTACCAATTGTACCGAGTGTACCGAGTGTACCAAGTGTACCAAGTGTACCAAGTGTACCGAGTGTACCAAGTGTACCAAGTGTACCGAGTGTACCAAGTGTACCGAGTGTACCAAGTGTACCGAGTGTACACATTACCAAGTGTACCGAGTGTACCAATTGTACCGAGTGTACCGAGTGTACCGAGTGTACCAAGTGTACCAAGTGTACCAAGTGTACCAAGTGTACCGAGTGTACCGAGTGTACCGAGTGTACCAATTGTACCAAGTGTACCGTCCATTAGAGTTAGATCCACTAGGTCTGGAACCCGTAACGTCTGTAATTCTTAAATGGAACTTTGGGTAAAATGCGAACATGCGAAACATGAACAGCAGCCGAAGTTTTGTCAGCGTGAGTGTTCCAGCAACCGTTTAGCAGAAGGATGAACACCCCAGGCGCCAGTATGGAGGTAAGTCTGCGAATCCATTCACTCCTTCCTAAAATATTTTCAGGGGGGAGGAAGATGAAGGTGGTAATGTTGCCATCAAAATCCTGAAATATCATCAATTTTATCTTTTTAACGTCATCAATTTTATCTGTTTAACTTCATCAATTTTATCTATTAATTTTCATCAATTTTGTTTATTACTTTTAATGAACATGTACACTTCGTCGATTTTATCAGCTACTTTTAATGAAAATGTACACTTCGTCGATTTTATCAGCTATTTTTAATGAAAATTAAAATAATCTATTCATGAAGTGCATAACCTATATTCAGTAATAATATTTAATCATAAACTAAAACGTACAAATAAGATTCCATAAAATTGCATACAAACTTGTTATGATTTCACTAACCATTAACCTAATGTTATACAGAAAAAAAAAGTTACTAATGATAATTCCTTAACCTCGACTTCAACTTCCACCCTGATTCAATTCACCAGGTGCCCACAAAATCTCAGCAACTTTTCTGTGAGCCTAATAGGGTCCTTCCCATTAATCACAGCACCCACCCCCCCCCCCTCCCCCCGCCCTAATCTTGAATTACTATACACAATCGCCATTTTTCTTAATATGGATGTTGCTAATCATTAAAGACTTCAAATTAATTATCTCACCTGCACCATCACATTAGGAAAGTTGATTTTCATCACCATGACCAAAACGGCCTTCCATAACTGGCACCCCACTAACTCGTCTGTTGGAGATGTTGAAGTCAATTGAACACATTTTTTAAATCAGGGAATGTTAAAATATTGTAAGAGTCTAGAAGTCATTAAACACAACTTTGTACTTACATACTTCACGTCTTAAAATGTTGTAAGACTCTAGAAGTCATAAAACACAACTTTGTACTTACATACTTCACGTCTTAAAATGTTGTAAGAGTTTAGAAGTCATAAAACACAACTTTGTACTTACATACTTCACGTCTTAAAATGTTGTAAGAGTTTAGAAGTCATAAAACACAACTTTGTACTTACATGCTTCACGTCTTAAAATATTGTAAGAGTCTAGTAGTCATAAAACACTACTTTGTACTTACATACTTCACGTCTTAAAATGTTGTAAGACTCTAGAAGTCATAAAACACAACTTTGTACTTACATACTTCACGTCTTAAAATGTTGTAAGAGTCTAGAAGTCATTAAACACAACTTTGTACTTACATACTTCACGTCTTAAAATGCTGAAAAGGTGAGTGCTAATCTCGTGGAAATGATTTTTGAACATCCACGTCTTTAGGTCGAGGGGAATACTGGCTCTGGTTTCATTGAAGAGACGGTTTCGTACTAAGAAAATATACACATAATATATCCAGATGTATACAAGTGATTATGTAGCCAAAGTAACAAACGTGTCAAAAAAATGTATTATTTTATTATCGAGGAACGGATAAATCAATCCTCAATGTTGTGATACTACGTTCTTGATCAACACTAAACTTAATTTTAAAAAATACCACTTAGCAATTCTTTTAGTTAGTTTTAAATAGAAATTTGATGTTTTAAATAGAAATAATATTAGAACAAAAATATGTATTATATGCTTAACACTGGAATTGTTTGTATCTATTTGATTTTAGACATGATCTATGACAGGGGTCGGCAATCTGCGGCTCGCGAGCCGCATGCGGCTCTTTTGACGTCCAGATGCGGCTCTCCAGCTCCTTGCACAAATATTAATAGTTATATAATTTCATTTTTACTGGACGGTGGGGTACGACTTTACCCTGCGTTCAGTGGGATGGAAGATAAGCCTGGTGAGAACCAAAGGATAGAAGCGAACGATGCAAGTTATTCAAACCGATATCCAAGCCAGTTAGTCGGCGTTTGTCGTGTTGAGTACTGCCTGGCTAATGGGAGACACCTCCTGAGACGGTGATATCCGTAAAGAAAAAATAAATTAAAAATTAACAGCTTCTAAAGTAAATTGAGATAGTCCTAGAATTATATTATTTGATTACTAATTTTACTATTCTGGTGAAACATGTCTATGTTTTTATATGAATTAATATTATTTCATATTTAAAGCTATTTATTTTAAATAACAAATCATCTTTATTTACCTAATCCTAATCAAATACAGAATATTGAACTAAAAATGTTGTGGCTCTTAAAAAACTGGGAAAGTTTGCAAATTGTAACTTTTGGCTCTTGCGTATCAAAAGGTTGCCGACCCCTGATCTATGTTATGATGTTTGAAAACTGTAGACAAAAGTTCTATAAAGGGAGTTAATACAATATTCACTCTTTTGTGGGGTTTTTCATTGTTATTTCCCATTTTAGTTGGATCGCTATGATTGTCTTTTAATAAATTTTATTTTTCGAAAAAATGAAATATATTTTATATATCTATAAACCCTAATTATAAAGCTTTATAAGCATTTAAACAAACAAAATAATTTTCTTTCACAAACAGAACTAATAGCGAAAGTCGTTTATGTTATTTATTAATACATTTTCGGATAACGTTGATATCTTACTAGAATTGGGTACCGTTTTTACTTTCTCGTATATACGTAGTATAGAGAAAGTATTGTAATCGTGCAAAAAAAAAAAATCGAGATTTTTACAAATCTCGACGTTTTACACCTCACTGATACGGAAAAACATAATTTTGCAATCTTGTCCGTATGTCTGTGTGTGTGTGTGTGTGTCTGTGTGTCTGTGTGTCCGTGTGTAAACACGATAACTTGAGTACCGTTACAGCTAGGCTGGTGAAATTTCATATATAAGTATTTTATCAAAATCGTAGATCCGTATCAACTTTTGAGCGAATTCCGATAACTGGAAGTGGTACTTTTTCTACTTTGAATTTTTCAAAAGCCTATAACTTGAGTACTATTTCAGATAGATAAATGAAATTTGATATGTAAGTAAAAGAGCTAATTCTCTACCTTCTGTCAAATTTTGAGTAATTTCCGTTGACCGGAAGTACTTATTTACGCTATTTCCGATTTCTCAAAAAACGCATGTAAATTTATAAAGTACTAATAATATTGCGCACTATTATGCGCTTTTTTATTTAGCGTTCACTTGGTGTGCATTTCTTTTTTCTACGAGATTATATTCTATTTTAAGAAATGTGAGTATTTAAAATGGATTAAAAATCATGTCTAGAAGTCTATATCCCGAGTTGCCATCCCCTGTAGTGTTATATTAGTATATTCGAGAAAGTTTAGGGGAGATCACTCCCGGTTTATTTACCAAAATAATAATTTTGATTTTGTAAGGGTAGGTTTCTGGTCTAATAGTCTAATATGGTAAGGCTATTCTAATCCATCTCTAATGAAGATAGTTCTTGCAAGCTCTCACGTATGTGAATCTGGTAAGTAAACACAAGAACATCTCGTTCGACTGTAGATTAAACCTTGAATAAAACAGGTATCAAAATGTAATACAAAGATTTTAAATACTTTAAAAATAAGAACATAAACTTTCTTACTAAAAGCTGTACTGTGTCAGGGGCGGAACTACAGTGCCGCCAGACCCCGCAATGCGGGGGGGCCCAGACCGATTGGGGGCCCAAAAATCCTGGCTAAATTATTTAAAAAAAAAAATTTAAAAAAAAAAAAAATTAGGTGGAGGTCGAGTTATCTTTCTTCTACAGTTACAAACAAACACGATAGTCGGCAAACGTCTTTGATAAAAATGCACAGACTATATAGCTCGAGAGACCGCCAGACATAAAGTCAACTTCAAAGACGCAGCCTACCGTTCTTTTTAGTGACGTCGATTAGGAGAACAAAAAAGCATTGTTATATTGTTTATATTATTAAAATACATATCTATGATTGTGTGTTTAAACTACTGGCCTGAATTCTACAAAAAATATAATTATTTATTTCGATCTCGTACATTTATAATTGCGTTCATTTTTACTTTAACAACTGTATCAATAAACTTGTAAAAGTTTAAGTTATCTCCCTTCAGCGAAGCATCTGAAATTTGACTGTGCCGGTACACTTTGAAATCGGGCTGGGGAAATGTTGCGGCGACTATCCTGGTCTTCTAGACGACCGGAAAAAGTCGGCACTATTGATGTAGATGTTCATCGGCGCTTTCTTGTCCCCTTCCAATGAACCTTCCCAACTCTCTCCCCTGCCCCCTCTCACCCCTACCCCTCACCTCTACCCCTCACCACACCCTTAATCTTACAATAAGATGTAATGCATAGATTAACGAACCGTCTATGAACTACTGAACTGTAAACTGACCACTCCTGCACATTTTGTTAAAGACACTAGTCAGTAGTTGTTCATTTACCTGATGAACAGGGGCGGAACTACAGTCCCGCCAGTCCCAGCAATGCGCGGGGGGGGGGGGGGGGGCAGGCCGTTTAGGGGCCTACCCACGGCTGACCAAAATTAATATTTTTTAAAATTTTGAATTTAATTTTCGTGCATTTTTGCCTTAATATTTGGTTTGTAAAAGAAAAACACTAGCTGCGGTACGATTATCTTTATTTTACAGTCACTATACCACGCTCTTCCGCAACAGATAAAATCCATTACACAAACTACAGTGTAAAATATAGGCAACTCTTCAAATTTGAATGACTTCTTTGACTCGTTGCCCACCACCTCTTTAATAGCTAAATAGAGGACACGTAACTATTTGACCGATCCTCCAAAGTGTACTGTCGCGGATTAGGCAGGGGATGGGGACCAAAAAGGGGGTTCAAAAATTGTCGAATTTTTTTTACATATTTTAAACAGTTATTTATAGTTGTATTTTTTAACCATTGTCAAGGCCGAGTTCTATTTCCCTACAATCAAACACACGCTGTCGTCGGCAAAATTCTTTTTAAAAAACAACAAAGTCCATAGCACGAAAAGCCGCTACATATGAAGTGGGCTTTCGTCTTTGCGGCATTGGTAAGGGACCCGAAATCCATTGTACATTTTTCAATGTTAATGTGTTTGTGATAGTGGTTGAATTTGTATCTTGCATCCTGCAAATAATAAAAAAATAATATAATACTATACTAGAAACTTCAGTTTTATATACGGTTACTTGTTTTTGCTTTTACGAGAAATATCATAGTAAACTTTTAAAGTCTATACTTGGAAT